CTATCTTCAAAGTTGTTAAATGGTTTGTCGATGTAATTAACTAGCTTGGATTGACAAAGAATTTGATCGACATTGAATGGAATGCCATCAGTGAGGGGCGGCCATGGATCTTCGTTCTCTGCATCCTTTCTCTCAATCATTTTTTTTCCTCCTCATTTCATCCTTATCATTTGATAGAAAAATGAATAGTTTAAGATTCAATATTTTATGGAATTATTTTTGCCTATTTGCAAGTGGTTTACAGCTGTGTAATGTCTCGAACAAATTTTAATATTTTACATTTATTCCTAATGATGTTAAAAATTAGATTAAAATGAATTTTTTAAAAACAAATGGGAAGTCTCTATAATTTTAGTACATCACATGAAAGATTACCGTATTTTACTAAACATTCTTTTTCTATGAAAGTATTTGATAATTTGTAATTTTATGACGAAAAGCGTTTTTCAAATATTCTTAATACGTTTTATTTTATTTTTTGAATCATTTTATATATTATAATTAATATAACTTTTCTCATGAAAACTAAATTTTAATTTATAGGACGATAAATATATTATACATAGAGAATCACAATTTAATGTCCATAAATAGGATGCTGCGGTTCGGTGAGCAATCCTTGTAACAAGTCAAGGGTGGATTCCGCACATTGAAGCTCATTTTTTATTTAAAAGAATGTAAAAATAGATATGTTAAAACATTTTTTATGGTAAATATATGTAATAATTTATAATTGTTATATTTAAAAGATAAAATAATTCATATAACATATAAAATTCGCAAAACAAATTATACTATTCACATGAATTGTGCAACTTTTAAATATATGACGTATACGCGTATTAACTTGGTCTAATGCTGAGAGGGCAAAAAAAAACAAAGTGTGGCGAAACGTAACCAGAAGACTAAAGACAAAAATGCCGGCAGAAAAGATGTGGTCATAAAATAAGACATTATTATTAGCCAATGAAATAATAGTGACGGAATGCTCATCTTAATCTCAACCAACCACGCTAATTTTCGATGGTCCAGAATTAATTTTAACTTTATATATCTTTTGAATTATTTTTTAATAGATACAAAATTCAAAATAACGATTATGTTAGAAATAAATTTATTATTGAAAAGAATTTCGGATTATAAAAATTTTAAATTTGAACAAGTCATCAAATTTTAGATTATCTAAATTGCATTACAGTGAAATAAGTACTGAATGAAAACCTCCATCCATTGCTAGTCTCCCGACATATTTACATGTAAATGTGTATATGTCTTTTGATATTAACCTACTTAATTTGTGGATTAAATATCGGGTCCATTTAGCTTTTACAATCAACCTATATATATATATATATATATATATATAATATCACATAAAATTTATAATAAGATGACATTATAATTCATAGCAATTAGTGATACTAACCTAATCATGGCCCCCACCTCTTGAAAATTATGAAAATGATTTGTTTTGGATGCAGCGGGCTCAGATTGATGAGAACTTCCATCTACATTGAAAGGAATGACTACCAATGAGGAACCTATTATAATGAAGTGTGTCAGGTCGTGTTCCTTTCTTTCAACAACTTTGAATTTTCATGAGCTGAGCAGTGAATGTATAGAAAATGACTTCTTCTCATTAAGTGGGATTAAGTTTTGAATTGAAGGTTCAAGAAAGTTTCACTAAAAGAAAAAAAATATTTTCTAAATTTAAAATTGCTGTTCTTAAAATGTTTCAGAGTAAAATATAAAATAAAAAAATTAAATATGAAATGTTCAAATATAAATTTAGATTATTTATATTTACCCCCCCCCCCCAAAAAAAGAGAGGAAGAAGAGTGGATACTTTTAACACCAAACCTTGAATATTCTGATAATGTTCTCATTAGATATAAGATATATCGTCCGGGTTAAAAGGAAGAAATCTGCCTGAAAATATTATCATGGGAATAATATGCTAATGAGGATTTAAGAATCTCTATGTATGAGACTTTTGATTACTTGCTTAGAGAATTAACTAAGATTGCTTTAAATTACAAGCTGCAGAAGCTCGTAAAGGAACTTCAGATGAATATAAAATCCCATGACAAATATTGAAAGAATTCATCATAAACTCTGTGGTTTTCCATTACTTATCATTCAGCTAATTAATTTTTCATCAATGTAGTGTTGTTATAAATATTGTTCACATGAATAATTTTCTGTCCTCATCCAAGTAGCATTGAACAAGATTTGCAACTGCTATAATTACACACACGCGCGGTGGATATGATAGTTGATTTCTAAACTCAAGAACTTGTATGTCATCCCCTCCCCCCCCCCCCAAAAAAAGCAATTTCTCCTTGTTTATAAATTATATAGGGTTAATATGACTTTTGATCCCAAAAATTTGGCCTCATTTTAATTTCTTCATATTTCTAAAATATATACAGAAAGTTTGTGTAACATATATTTTAATTTCAAAGAAAGTTTATAATAAATATGTAAGAAATGCATTTTTTCCTCTCAAATATGTCCATCCTTATTTATAAATGAGTAGGTTAGTAGGTGTGAGTAAGAAAAAAGATGAAAGAGATTGTGTGGGAAAAAAATAATGAGTGAGTATATATTAATTAAAGATAAAGTAGAAAAAAATGTATTTATTATTTATATAAACCTAAAGTAGATCTTACAAAAAAGGACGAAACAATCCAAGAAATTAGATTTTGTAAGAAGAGACGGAGAAGGTATTAGATTTTCTTAACCTAATGCTCCTCTGATTCTATTTATAAATCACACTTTGAGTATATTTGACCAAAACTTAAAAATTAAATCTCATTAACTCTACCTTAAAATTTAATAACTTTCTGACGCTACTCATAATTAATACATACATTTTTCAAACAAATAACAATTTACACTGTAATAAATGACAGATAAAATAGTTTATTCATGATATAAAGTGACTTGTAAACAGTAATTAAAATAACATTTTCTTTCTGTCTTATAGGAGAAATTATTTTTTAATTCTGTTTTATCATTATTTTATTTTACTTAATTTTTTTATCTTTTCAGGTGATTTAAATTTTTAATCATTTCAAGTATTTGATATTTCTAAGATATAAAAAATGATTAAAATAGTTTTCATCTTCAAGAAACTTCAGCTTATTTTTTTCTTCAAATAACAAGTATGTACCATTTATATATACCACTATCTTTCCCAGCCACTTATTATCAATATAATTAATAACTCGCAGAAGTCAAATTTTAAATCGTGTACATTGAATAATACAATTTGATTTTATATTTACTATATAATTCTCTCATTTCAATACCTACGAAAACTGGACATCAAACGTGCTTCACGATCTGGCCAAAAAAAAAAAAAAAGGTGCTTCACGATGAAATTCGTTGACTGTCGATAGGAGAGAAAAAGATATTGATTCATGACCCGTTAAATCATAACAAATAAATTAGTCTAAGCACCGAACTCACGGATTAATTATTTTTTTTATAAAAGAAAGTTTGGTTGAATTAGGTCCCGACGTTCATCGGGGTCGGGACATATTTCCAGACTTAGAGAGCCTTTGAACCTTCGACATTATAGGTTATGAACCGACTTCTTATCAACTGGATCGATTCTTGTTAGCAATTCATAGACTAATTTTAAAAAGACTCGAAATTATTGTTGACATAGTTAACGCAAATTATAAGTATTTACCATTTACATAATACATATTAGAAACTAAAAAATATTTAGCACTATTTACCATTCATAAAACATAAATTTATTTTTCTTTTTTGGTAAGGAAAAAAAGAAGTCGTGGACTTATGGTGAGTATATATCATCATTAATAGTCTTTAACAATAATTCTCCCAAAAACAAATTTATTATTCCCACAAAATAAAAAATTGATCTAATGAACTGTCACATATACTTAATATAATTTTTTTTAAAATAATATCATCGCAAGAATCACAGGAAGATGAATTTCTTCATTTTTTAGCAAATATTATTTTAAATAATTTCCTTTGAAAAAACTAATTACTTAATCTGTATAATTTTGATTCAATTAAAACTCAGTCATCACTCATCGTTAAACTTTGATTTGCCTTATAACTCAATAAAACCCTATCCATGAATTTTGACTTTGTGTAACTCAATTCATATAATTTTAACATTTTAAGACATTATTCACTGATGTCTAAGAAATAACATAATTTTTATAGTTTATTTTATGAAATATAGGAACTAAAAGTTTGAAAAGTCAAAATTCTAAGAACCATATTGGTCAAGTTAAATTTTAGAAATCTAGTTTTAAATAAATCAAAATTATAGGCGCTGAATTAGATCATGTCAAAATTTCATGTTAAGACTATAGATAGGACCAAATGATTAATTTTTCTGATTTACTTTTATCACTGTTTTCTGTTATTTTGCCTGACAACAACGCCTGAACGAAGCAAGTAAACCATTATAATTGATTGTGGAACGTATCTCAATAGACGTGGTTTACGCTTTCTTTTTGTCTCTCTTTCGCTTTTACAGGCATAAAATGGTGGTTTTCTATTAAATCCAATCCATGTTCTTGCAACTTTCTCATATTGAAGCCGCTTCTGCAGCTTCTGCAACCTTCACATGTCTGAAGTGAGCCGAAGGTAGTAGTTTCTGCTGCAATTAACTCTCATATTTCTACAAGCTCTTCTGGAGTCTTACTGCTTGGGCTTGAGGCAAAATAAAATTTGAATGTGACCCTAAACACCAACCAATGCAATTGACTTAGCTCATTATTATATTAAGTAATCATACAAGCAAGAAATCATTAATAAACGCCACTGCCAAATCAAATATCGAAAAAAGTTGACTTGACCAGCTTCAGCTGCTGAGACACAGCGCCGTGCGTCCTATATATTCTCATGTTGACATTGGCGGTTTCGGTGTAGGCTTCTAAGCAGAGCAAACCAACTTTCTTTTCCTTCTTCACGTCTTCTCACCGTTATCTCGTGAATCTGTTGTTAAGATGGCAGAAGCAACACATACTGACATGAATCAAACAAACTTGGCGTCTGATGAGAGTGCTCAACAAAGGGCGGAGCTGCAACGACTTCTCTCATCTCAGCCTTCAGATTTATCCTCCAATCACTTCCAACAACCACACGTATGCGTTATCCTTTGCTACTCTTTCTTTAATTCTAAAGCTTTTTCTTGTTTTCCATACTTCCTCTTTGCTTACTACTTTTAAGGTTGCTTTTGTTTATATAATTCCTTAATTATTAGACTTTTCTTAATCTTGTTATATTCCCTTTAATTTGCTCCCACCTTGTTAGATTCATTGCAGCCTCTTTTTTTTTTTTTTATCCTTTTCTTATTCTTAACAAATATTATGAGATTACAGTTCAGTTATTAAGAAAAGAAACATTTATATTTCCCAAGCTCTATGGTCACCTTCATTGCTTTGCTAATGCGCAATTTCTGCTTTCCTTCTGAATCTAAATTGATATATAGGCGGAAGATGAGGAGATCAACATAGACATAAAAGCATTGATAGAGATTAGTGAAGATGGCCTCTTGTCGCCTTTGTGTTGTATCTACAGGGTGCCTACGACGATCCGTCATCTAAATAACGAAGCTTACACTCCTAAGGTTGTTTCCATTGGTCCTTTCCATCACGGTGATAAGAGGCTGCAAGAAATGGAGAGGCACAAAGAAATAATGCTTAAAAGATTTGCACAAAGAGCTATGACAGACTTGGACAGTTTGGTTAACTTCACAAAACAATCTGAGTCAAAGGTCCGTGCTTCTTATTTTGAGAGAATCAACTATGACAAGAAGGATCTTGTGAAACTGATATTAGTGGATTCTGCTTTCATCATTCAACTCTTTATTATGACCTTTGAAGGTCGCATGATACCCGATGCAAAACTATCACAATCATGGTTGGATAATGCTATAAGTAAGGATTTGCTTTTACTTGAGAATCAGCTTCCATTATTTTTCCTTGACGAGCTATACAACATAGCCTTTCCTCATAATGGTAGAGGTCATCGCCCTTCATTTCTTCAGCTTACATATTCCTACTTTGACTATCTTAACATGCAAATGTTTGAGCCTCATCTAGAGATAAAACATTTCACAGATCTTCTTAGATCGTGTCACTTGCCAAGATCGTTAACTCGTCGAAGTATGTTTTTACCGGAAGTGCATAATGACATTCTTTTGTATAGTGCAAAACAGTTAGAAGAAGTTGGCTTAAGGTTCAGGTCAAGCTCGTCAAAATGCCTGTTAGACCTCAAATATTCAAACAATGTCCTGGAGGTCCCAAGGATTCGGGTGGACGATGACACTGCTATGATTTTTCACAATATGATAGCTTTTGAGCAGTGTCATTATCCTCACAAGCATTACATTTGCGACTATGCGCTAATATTGGACTGCCTAATCAACTCGCACGAAGATGTGAATATCCTTATCCGTGAGCGTATAATCCACAACTATCTTGGCGATCCATCTGATATTGTTAGAATATTTGATAGGCTTTCGACTAATCTTACTCTATCGAACTTCAATACTGAATACTCTGACATTTGTGGAAGGTTGAACCACTTTGCCCGTGATCCTGGGCGCCAAATGAAGCGAGCTTTGAAACGCCAACTTCTTCTTTCTATCACTGGATTTGTACTCAACATGCTCACTCTCATTCAGGCCATATTCTCTATCCTTCAAGTAGTATGGCGCTAGAATCTGGATTTCGAGGTTATGTAATATTATTGTAATATTATAATTTGCGTGTTATGTACTCCAACTTTGTTGTATTATTGTATGAGATATTATATGAAGAACTTTGATATCCAAATCTTGTTTTAAGCAGAAAGTGCACTACGCAGCCACATAGTAAGTGTATGGTCGCTATTAATTCTACTACTGCTACTGTTATTATCTGTTTTATCTGAATTATTTTGTGGTAGTGAAGCATAATGAGTTAGAAATTTAGTTGTTACAACCAAAGCCAATGATGCATCTATAGATCATTAGCGAAATATAATTTGACATTTTGCACTGACCAAATCCAGTTAATTAAATTAGGGAGAACCAAAAGAAGGCAGGTAATATTGGGAGACCTTAGAATAATTAGTAATTAAAAGAACCTACCCATTGATGCACTAAAATGTACATTAAATGTACAGAATGGTACTCCATATCCTGCAAAATTCTTAATTATTTTGCAAACTAGTTAAGCCAATTATCGTAGGCTTCTTAACAACCAATGCATTTATAAACAAAAGTGAAACAAGCTAAGGAGACAAATTAAATATAATATAAAAGCAGATAAATCAACTATGGCCTTTCAGTTTTTGATCTTCCCCAACAACTTAGGAGACATGAAATATTTAAATGGGACATTATTCATATGTAAATTACACATAATCCAAGTTACTTCATAATTAAGAATGGAGGGAAGCTGGTAAGAGTTGATCAAGTTAGTAAGAAGTCGGTTCATAACCTATAAGATTGTGAATTTGAATTCTGCTGCTAAAGTGAAAACTTTATTGATGATTGATATGTAAGTTACTCTCTAAGCTTCAAGACATACACTAGTTCTGTTCAGCTTCGAGACCTAACTCACATAAACTTTTTTTCGTAAAAAAAAACCTAATAAGAACGGTGGGGTTGATTATAAAAAAACACCAAACCTAAATAACCACATTTAATATGATCGGCCGTTGTAGACTTGTAGTCAACCGTCCATTCAAAATAAAGAAAGAAGCAGTGCCACATTTATATGTTCCTTACTTTCTGGCTTTCAATGTGCATCAGAGTCATCTTCAATACGAACCAGCTGTATCCATAGAATCGTCTTCCACATTCTACACACGGGAACCACTTTTTTTATGACTAGAATGCCCTTGCACCTAAATCAAATTTTCTGATGAACCCCTGATACCGGTTCCTCTCTTCTTCCTCCGTAATCAACTAACAAATCAAGAAGGCTAAAAATGAAGTTCCAAAAACTTCTGCATAAAAGATGGAGTGACATATTCTCTTATCCATAAACCACCTAACTTGATTATTTAAATCTTACTAAAACATGAAAAATAGTGTAATGTTAGAGCTTAATGTAATTTACAAGGTTAATATTAAAAATTAATTAAATTTATATTCGGGTGTGAGGTTGATATGCTACGGTCAGACATGACACAGGTGGTCCCTGCGCATTCAATAAGCGTTGGTTTAGAGACAAAAATGTTGATGCAAGAGATGAGATGTAAATTATCCAATGAATTGATGACACCTATTACCAGCAACCCTGAATATGTAAATGGGCGCCTATTTAATTTGTGGATCAAGGACTGGGTCCATTTAGCATATCAAATCAACCAATAAATATCACATAAAATTTATCAAAAGAAATACTTCCTCCCGTTCTTATTATAGAACATTTTTAACTAATTCTCACATATTAAAAATAACAGTTAAATTATTAAATTTTTCCTAAATTAATAATTTTTTCCAAAATTATCCCTAGCTTAAATGATATGATGTAGATAGATAAACACAAACTTCTATAAACTTTTTATTATTAATAACGGTAAAATTAGCTAAAGTAACAATTAACGAGTTGTTAATTACTTATATTTAGAACTAAAAATTCATTTTAGACGATGCACTATAATAAGAACCAGAGGATGTACATTATTATTCGTAGTAACCAAGGAAACCAAACTATCTTCAAAGTTGCGAAATGGTTTGTCGATGTAGCTAGCTTGGATTGACAAAGAATTCAATCCACATTGAATGGAATGCCATCAGTGAGGAGCGGCCATGGGTCTTCGTTCTCTGCATCCTTTCTCTCAATCATTTTCTTCTCCTTATTTCATCCTTATCATCTGATAGAAAAATGAATAGTTTGAGATTCAATATCTTATGGAATCATTATTTTTGCCTATTTTCAAGTGGTTTACAGTTGTGTAACGTCTAGAACAAATTTTAATATTTTACATTTATTCCTAATGATGTTAAAATTAGATTAAAATGAATTTTTTAAAAACAAATGGGAAGTCTGTATAATTTTAGTACATCATGTTAAAGATTACTGTATTTTACTAAACATTCTTTTACTACGAAAGCATTTAATAATTTATAATTTTACCAGTAAAAACGTTTTACAGATATTCTTAATACCTTTTATTTTATTCTTTTGAATCATTTTATATATTAAAATTAATATAATTTTTCTCATGAAAAATAAATTTTAAATTATAGGATAATAAATACATTGTATATAGAGAATCACAATTTAATGTTCATAAATAAGATGCTGCGGTTGAGTAAGCAATCCTTGTAACAAGTCAAGGGTGATTCCGCACATTGAAGCTCATTTTTTTATTTAAAAGAATGTAAAAATAGACATGTTAAACATTTTTTATGGTCAATATATTTAATAATTTATAATTGTTATATTTAAAAGATAAAATAATTCATATAACATATAAAATTCACAAAACGAATTATACTATTCACATGAATTGTACAATTTTTAAATATACGAATATTACAAATATGCGTATTAATATGGTCTAATGCTGAAAGGGCAAAAAAAAAAAAAAAAAAGCAAAGCGGGGCGAAATACAACCAGAAGACCGAAGGCAAAAATGCTGGCAGAAGAGATGTGGTCATCAAATAAGACATTATTATTAGCCAATGAAATAAAGACACCCTATCCGTGAGCACATTCCATTGTTATCAAAAAAGTAGTCACCTCACCAACCAACCACATTAATTTTTGATGGTCCAGAATTAATTTAAACTTTATATATTTTTTGAATTATTTTTTAATAGATACAAAATTCAAAATAAAGATTATGTTAAAAATAAATTTATTATTGAAAAGAATTTCAGATTATAAAAATTTTAAATTTGAACAAGTCATATCTAATTTTAGATTATCTAAATTGTATTACAGTGAAATGAGTACTGAATGAGAACCTGCGTCTATTACTCTGCATATTTACATGTAAATGGGTAGATGTCTTTCGATATCAACCTACTTAATTTGTGGATTAAGTTATTGGGTCCATTTAGCTTTTAAAATCAACCTACATATATCACATAAAATTCACAATAAGATTACATTATAATTCATAGCAAGTGGTGACACTAACCTAATCATGGCCCCCACCTCTTCAAAATTGTGAAAATGATTTTGTTTCGGACGCAGCTGGCTCAGATTGACAAGGACGGAAATCTACATTGAAAGGAATGGCTACCAGTGAGGAACCTATTATGATGAAGTGTGTTCCTTTCTTTCAACAACTTTGAATTTTGAGCAATAAATGCACAGAAAATGAAAATGACTTCTTTTCGTTAAGTGGGATTAAGTTTTGAATTGAAGGCTGAAAAAAGTTTCACCAAAAGAAAAAAAATATTTTCTAAACTTAAAATTGCTGCTTTCAAAATGTTTTCGAGTAAAATATAAAATAAAAAAATTAAACATAAAATGTTTAAATATAAATTTAGATTATTTAAATTTAACCCAAAAAAGAGAGGAAGAAGAATGGATACTCTAACACTAAACCTGGAATATTCGTTAAAGGGAAGAAACCTGTCTGAGGAGAATATTCTCGGGGGAATAATATACTAATGAGGATTCAAGAATCCCGTTGTATGTGACTTTTGATTACTTGTTCAGAGAATTAACTCAGATTGCTTTAAATTAAAAGCTGCAGAAGCTCGTCTAGGAAACTAAGATGAATATAAAATCCCATGACAAATCTTGAAAAAATTCATCATAAACTCTATGGTTTTCCATTACTTATCATATTCAGCTAATTAATTTTTCATCAGTATAACGTTGTTATAAATATTCTTCAGATGAATAATTTTCTGTCCTCATCCAAGTAGCATTGAACAAGATTTACAAATTGTATGATGCCATACTATAACTGTACACGCACACAGAGGCACTGTAAAGACCATGAAAAAAAATATAATATGAGATAGTTAATTAATATTATTATTTATTTTTGGTAAATTGATAACATAAAAAAGATAGGGAAAATTAGAAATTACTGCAAAAAAGCGTTGTTATTTGGCTTTTGAGTGTAGTTATTTTTTTATGAGTGTATTAATAAATGCTAATTTATTATTTTAAAATTTAACAGTCATTTTTTTGGATTTTTCCAAAAAGATCATAACACACTGGATATGATAATTAATTTCTAAATTCGAGAACTTGAATGTCATCCCAATAAAAGGAGCAGTTTCTCCTTGTTTCTCAATTATATAGGGATAATATCACTTTTGGTTCTAGAAAATTAACTTCATTTTAGTTTTAGATCCTCAAATTTTAAACTTATGATTTTAATTTTTAAAATTTAGTTCGTTTTAAAATGTCAATCCATAAAGGTATAATAATGTTAAAATCTAATAAAGTATCATAAAAAGCATTAGAGTGGTGATGTGCACCTACTTCTTGGAATGCAACTATATAGCTCCCGGTTTTTCCCTCACCATGGATTGGAGAAGTTGTTCACTATTTCGCATTTTGAGGCCGAACTCATCTAGAGAAAATTACCGTCCATAATATAAGTTTTCAGGATAATTAATAACATTTTTACACTTATGCCCCTATTAATTACAAGAGAAAGTTTTAAATGTGTATGAAAGAGGAGAGAAAGATAAAAGATAATAAAAATGTATTGAAAAAAATACTCTATTATTTTTCAATAACATTCTTTAAG